GAACTTTTCTCACCTTTCCTTGATTCCCAACCATTTCCGATATTGCCTAGACAGTAACAGTAAAAAATTGCACGATTTTCAGGAAGACCCACCACCCTGCCCCTCACCTTTTCCGTCTTTTTTTACACCGGTCGATTCCCTCTGCCGAGAGAACTGGTAGATACGAGTTTAGGAAGGACAGAGAGAAGAGAAACGAGGGTTGAATGGCCGTTCGCTAAATTATCGGGTAGAAAGAGGGAAATCGGCTGCAATCCGTGCGCGGCCAACCGCAAATACCGAATATCTATATATACATATACATTTTCCCACACTCATGCCCATACTAACACATGTCTACATATACAGGATGGTCCAAAAATTTGTAGGCGATTATAAAAATATATTATTCTTTTTCCAGATTTATGTAGAATTATTTTTTCATCAGATGTAAAACTGCGAGTTAGCTTTTGGGAGATTGGCTTTACTAAAGGTAGCCTAAAAAGTTGTTAAAAAAAAAAAAACAAAAGGAAAATCAGCTAGATCTTTTTGGCCTACCTTGTGTATACACATATAACTTTATATTTGTTTCTTTCTCTCCCCCCCCCTCTCTCTCTTTCTCTTGACCTATTCATCTCCGTTTTCTCTCTATCCCTCGATTGCGCACGTTCACCCCTCGGTAACCAGCTCCGGTACGGCATCCCCTCTTTTTCTCGGCGATCTGCTCATCGGAAATCATTGCCACGCCGCCATTGTCAGCCGTCGAGGCACATTAGATTGGCTTCGACCCAATACTACCACCGATTTCCCAATTCTGCCCGGTAGAATCGCATTATTCGGATTATTCGGTAGCCGTCGCACCGCGCCGCGTCGCCGAGATCGAATGGACCTTTTTTGAAGGAAGGGCTTTCACCGAGATTTTCGCTAAAAGGCTCGTTAGACTTCCACCAGCACCTCCTATATTCTCCACCTATACTCTCCACCTATACTCTCCACCTATACTCTCCACCTATACTCTCCTCCTATTCTTCGTTATTCGATAAAGCGAGATAATTTCTCCATCAAGTTACTCCTATTTTATTTTTATTTTCACAGCTGATCAGAATGATTCAAAGATCGGAAATGATCGACAATGGTAGGGATCGATCTTGATAAAACGATAATGGAATCTTTGTAGATGGATCATAAGGGAGTAGATACGGTCTTCGCACGAATGAAATTTTCATTTTTCATTAGCTAACATTTTTACTTTTCTTCAGACGAAATTCTGCACACCATGTTCGTGTCTTTTTCTTCTTCTTTTTTCAAGGCCGTCGGAGGTTTTTTGGAATAAGGGGTGAGAACGGTGGGCGAGGGAAAAGGAGGGATATTAAATATCTTGAAGGATGAGAGAGAGAGAGAGAGAAGAAATTCGTCGGCTGTCTGTAGAAACCTATTTGAATCTTTTAGCAGTGCCTAGAGGCTCCGAAAGCATTGACCAACTGCTATGCAGAAAAAGTAGATAGAGATAGAGAAATGAGGATAGCGATAATAAATATTCTACATTTTAGAATTACATTGAACAAATTCTGGGGGTAATTTTCAGTGAAATGGAATAACAGGGTAGATAATAGTGTAAATAGAACAATAGAGGCGCGTTACCATTGAACTATTGTACTTTTAATTTAAAGCATGTACATTGTCTATACATATTTCCCCCATGCATATAAACATAGATTATATAATATATATACAAACACGTGACCATTTAAATGCACATGCACATTTATAGATATGCGCATAAGAGAAATGAAAATGTATTATGGTGTTGCATTGGCTGCAAGCTCGAGGAAGAAAGGCTGTAGGACGAAGGGTTGATTTGCTTCCGGTAGAAAAGTGGAGGCACGGAGGGTAGGTGCGTTGTTACGTCATGTGTGAAATTACTATCACCTACCTTTAATACGCTCGTCTCGTAGGGTATCGCGCAAGCACACCTCTAAACTATGTTTGTGTTTTCTATTCTTTTGTATTGTATAAGAAAAGAGTGAGAAGATATTGCAGTAATTTTTAATAATCTTTTTTACTTATGGTTTATTACGAACAAATATCATATTTTGTATAATGCGATAATTACAAACAATAATGTAGACATGCATGCAAATGAATAATATTTCGAAAAAGAGATGAAAATAGAAAGAGAAAGGGGTAGAAAATAGATGGAGAGGGGATGATCGTACGTTTCTGTCCAAGAACGGTCAGCACGAACGAGATTAATAAATATTAGAGAGGCGTGGGTAGCTCGAGGGAATGCACATGATTTAAAGAGGCGCATGCTGGTGAGCGTTTAATAAATAAGCTCTCCTGCTCGTCGACCGAACTCCTTTCTCTCTCTATCTCTCTCTCTCTCTCTCTCTCTCTCTCTCTCTCTCGTTCAGTACGCAAAATTATTCTCGGGGAGAATTGTACTACCCCAAAAAAAGTTTCTCTCGTTTTGTTTGTCTTCCATTTTTTTTTGTTAATTTTTATTTTTTCTCCCTTTTCTCTCTCTCGTCATCCTATTCTTTATTTCATATTAAATTTCAATACTCGTATATATACATAATTGAACGATCCAATATATATTTTTTAATTTTTTTTCAGATTATATTAACCCTTTGCACTCGAGACCTTTTACGTTATCAGCGACCCATATAGGGGTTGTAATATTCGACGGTACGAATGTATAGGCGAGTTTATATCGAACGATATTCGCGTTAAAGCGTGCAGTAACGAAAGGGTTAATAAATTTATTAGTTGGAAAAATTTGAGAACTCGTACGCAGTAACCTCCACGTGGTGAGATTTCGGAATCAACATTATTTGCGATATACTATTACAATAAATATAAATAACGTAAGTATTGTCGAGCATGCGATGGCTGCTTTATTCCAAATTTATATTATATAATTTTTCTTTATTGCATCCTTTCGGCCTAGTTTTGTAATATTTAAAAAAATGACTACTTGTTAATTTTCGCAATTATACGGGACTTTAAATAATTACCGGTTCAATTTTAACTTCGGTGGTTTTTCAAAAAGCAATTGAAATATTAAACATACAATTAGATTGTACCATTAAAGTAAATTACATCGATCTTTTTTATTATGTATTTGAAAGAAAAATAGCTGCGTTAAAAGCTACGTATTAAATCGTATGTACGTAATTCGGATGGAAGACAATCGGTTAAAATGGAATTAAACGTGAAGAGAAGCGGACGAAAGCGTAAAATTGAGGACAAAAAGTTTGTCAGGGTGGTGTTGAGGGGAGAGTGGTCCTTGCTGGTCCTGGTGGTGGTGGTGGTGGTTGGTTGGTACGCTAGAGAAAATTATACCAGGATATAAGAACCCTCTCTGTTTTAATGATCTCCTAGTTTTTTGTAATTAGCCAGCACTTTCCACGACCACGCACCGTGCTTCTGTCTTCCCGGGCTTATTTATTTTCTCAACCGGTCTTCTCGTTTCTCGTCCTTGCTTTCTGACATTTCATTTTTACCTATAACAACAAGATTGTATAACATCAAAAATGAAACAAATGAAAAATTACAAAATGAAATATTTGAAGAAAAGAAAAGAAATAATTTTGACTGCCGTCTTGCGTTGAGCAGCCACTTTTTTTTTAGGAAAGATCGGTCAAAAATAAAAAGGAAATATATCGATTTAAGTAGAAGGTCGAGCCTCCTCCTCTCAGTATCGATCTTGGCAACGCTTCGTCGTCGAGACTCGCATGCTCTACGACCCTACGATTCACTTTTCTACCTCTAACATATGTTCTCTCCCTCTTGGAAAGCAGAGAAATACGCACACACAGAAGAAGTATACGACACACACACAGGTACGCACAGCTCTCGTTACGCTTCCTGAACCTATTGTCTATAATAATCATCGGCGAGCTTTCGATTATCCGGAAGAACGCTTTACGAGTACCAGACACCCAGCTTTCCAATTTTCTGATCGCTTGCCTCCTTGACGGTTGTATAATGAAAGAGAAAAAAAAAGATCTAATCGATTACTTTTTCTCTTTTTTTCCTTATTCTACTTTATTCAATTCTTGAGAAAGGAAGAGAAAATTAATCGTTTGTAACTTTTCAGATTAGATTAACTCAGAAAGGAACTTTATTAAGGTGGCTATAATCATTTAAAGTTACTTGTCATATCAATTACAACTAATTTCTTAAAGGATTAAAAGTTTGATCATTTCGATAATCGAACAAATACGATTAATATATTTGAATTAAATTGTAACATATTAGAGATCTCTATTCGATAATTATCCGCGAAAAAAATCTTAAAGATTTGCAAATGTATCATTTTTATATTTGATAGAACTTTGTTTTTATTTGCAAATCGAATACAGTGTTTCGTCGAATGATTAATTTTTAACAACGAATATATAATTTGTAACATCTGTCTGTCGGTGGACAAGAAATTAAAAAAAAAAAAACAACGATTAAGATTAGCATCAAAGGCAAGCTACGAAAAAATAATAATAAACAACTGTTTTTTGAGATAATTTGGAAGGAGACAAAAAATGTTCATCCCCAAAAAAGGAATAATAATTGTATTATAATAAAAATAGATATATAAATGGGTGTAGGGTTCGAGAGATCGAATCGTCGTACCTGAGTCGAATAGTGGGAGTAACGAGTAGACGTTAGACCAATAGCGTGCGAGAGAAGCGGAGCGGAGTGGGAGAGTATAAGTGTGGGAGCGTTGTCGCCTGGCAGCGCCGCGACGCGTTCAAGGGGAACTAGACGTGACACACGACGCGTTCGGGAGACACAATATTCCACAAGGCTTTTCTAACCTCGTCCTGGCGCTACGCGCGCGTCCGTCCTCGTCGTGTCGGCTCCCTTCGTTTCGTTTCGTTTCGTTTCGTCTCTCCGTGTGACGTGTTCTGTGCCATCGGAATATAATATATCCCTCACACACCTTTATACATTTTTCACATTTTTCATATTTTTTCTCTCTCTCTCTCTCTCTCTCTTTCTCTCTCATTCTCTATTTTCCATTAGTTTTTTTTCTTTTTTAAATATCAAAGAACTATCGTTTTTATATCTAACTTTCCTACTTTTTTTTTGTTTTTGCCTCCTAATTATAACAATCGACTATTTGTGGTGACGAAAAGAGAATATTTAAAGAACAGAGAGAGAGTTAAAGAAGAGAGAAAGAGGAATTATCTTTTTTCTCTTCTTTTTTCGTTTACTTATTGGAAATTGCAGTGAGAAGATATAACCTGGAGAGAGAGGATCATCGATCTTTTACCCCACAAGTAAGGACTTATTCATTTAATTCGTTACATTATTTTATAATGTTATAATAATTGCGATTGACACGATGATCGATCACATCGATTTATATCGATCGTAATATTTCGAAAGAAACACAAGGAAGCGTCTGGCCGAATTCAAATGTAATTGAAACTCGGCCCGCCCATTCTAGCGCTGACCAATCGAATGTCGAGATTTGACAGCGAAGCGAACTTTCAAAACTTTGAATTTCTTTATATTTAACCTTTTTTATTTTACACAAATTTCATTATAATTATAATTGAAGTATGTATTGAAGTACATGTACTATGGCCGAGTACTTATACATTTTAATTGGGTTGATTTTCAAGATTGTGTTTGAATAATTTTGGAGATAATTATGTATTGTTTATGCAATATAGGGTATAACAAATTTGATAAATTATTTAATAGAGAACATACGAAAGAATATATATAGTTATTATGTTGAATCTGCTTACGTATCTATCCGTAGAAATTTTCTGTAGCCTAGTTAGAATAGGTCGATACGTGAAAATACCTGCAGTCGTTCCAGTTCGATTCATAGTGAAGCAAATCGTAATAAAATGTCGACGACGAAGACGACGACGACGACGACGACGACGACGACGACGACGACGACGACGACGACGACGACGACGAGGACAATCTGACGATCGATTTGGTTCGCCTAATACATATTTAAAGATCATGTAGATGACATGTATGTAAGTAGTGCACGTATAGAGGGTGGCTCAAACTTTTCTAGATGATTTTCAATAATCGATTACAATACTTTACAGAATTATCTTATTTTCAGATTATAAAACTACAAACGTAGAAGATTTTTGTATGATTTGAAAAGTATTATTGTTTAAATAGTCTCGAGAAAAGGGTACTTGATTTTAAAAATTAGCTAGAAACTTTTGGTCCAACCTGTATACGCGGGACACGTTCGCCTAACTTTTTCCCTTACGTTTTACGCCCTTTTTCTTTTTCTCCCTCTCATTTTATTTTCTTTTCTTTTTATTCTTTCTTCTCTATCACCCACGCGAGCATTCTTTTTTATTCGAATGGATATTATTATGTCTTCGCACATTAATCATCGAATTAAGGGAAGTAATAACGTTAATGTAATATTCAAGTTTTAGCTTTTCTACGATTCTTTTTAATTAGAGAACAAATTTATTATTATTGATAAATGAAATATAATATCGAGTGGAAATATTTGCACATTATTATATATTCTTAAATAAATAAACTTCCTTTCTGTATAATGAAAATTATCATAATAAGAAGAACAGATGATTTACGTAAAAAAGATTATATTGAAAATGACATTGGTGTTATCTAATGATCAAAAATCCTACCAAAAAACAAAACGTTCTACATAAGAATGAGTGATTGAGAAAGAAAGAGACAGAGATAAATGGAGGGGAAGAAAAAAACTGAAACAAAACAGCAACCCTTCTTTTCTTGGTCCTCTTTGACCAACGTTCCCTCTTTTTACCCCTCTGTTCTCCCATCTCAGGGCAGCTTTCATTCTCTGAACGCGTCGAACGTGTGTCTCTTACAAAAACTACCCTTTCTTTTTCCATCTCTTTCTCTCGCTCGCTCTTAAGGTGCATTATTTTTTATCCTCTTGCCTTTTATTTTGTCAGGGAGGAAAGAGAGTATATATACTATATATATAGACAATGTATCCATCTCTTTCTCTCTTAGTTATTTTACTCGAAGTTGTAAGGTACACACTCGTTCTCTCTCTCTCTCTCTCTCTCTTTGTCGGCAATCTTCCATCTCTTTCTCTCGAAGCTTTCCCTTTGTCTCCGTGGAAACCTTGCGGTAGTTATGCGACGTTCGGGTGCTCCAAGCAGGGTGCCGAGCCTCGACTACGTGTAGAGGGGGTGGGAGTTAGGGGGAGAGGATACGCTCCTGGAACGTGACTTGGGTGCAATATTTAAAAGCGGCACAACGTCAATACTCTTCTACTACTACTATTTCTCTCTTTTTCTCTTTCTCTTTCTCTTTCTCTTTCTTGCAGCATCTTTCCAAACCGAGATAACACCCACGCATTGTTTCTCATACCTATATCAGTTGAACTCTTACATTCTCTCTCCCTCTTTCTCTTCTTCCATTTTTAGAATATCCTTGAGGTTTGTTCGAGGTTGACCTTAACCTTGTATGCATGCATATATAATATATCTTTTCATGTAATGCAGAAACATTTGTACAAATAAAAGTATTGATTTTTTCAAATCATTTATGGTAAACTTAGAGACCCCACCATCTAATTACTTTTGGTTAAATGCGCTATTTTTATATTTCTACGGTGCAATATGTATTTTAGCATTCCTATTTTTCAGCAAGCCTATTTATGCATGTATATTAAAAGGAAATTCAACTAATTTGAATATGTGTATGCACGGTGATAATTTGTCTACAGAAAAAGAGAGATAGAAACGAAATGAAAGGAAAGGAAAGGAAAGGACGAATGATACGGTAGGGTGAATAAATGCGACAGGAAGTTATGACAATTATGAGGGTGTGTTTGTAGAAATGTAGAAGTAAAATAAGAAGGAAGGAAGGAAGGAAGGAAGGAAGGAAGGAAGGAAGGAAGGAAGGAAGGAAGGAAGGAAGGAAGGAAGGAAGGAAAGAGGAAGAAAGCTGTGCTGTGGTGGCACTCTGGCAGCAGCTTGCCCTTCTCGACTGTCTGTGCGACGGCTCGTGAAATGAAATCGGGGACGACGATGATGGTCGATCGTTTATAAGTTTGACGATGGATAGAATTCCATCTCTTTTTTTTCTCTCTCTCTCTCATTTTTCTTTTTTCTCTCCTTACTCTTCGAGGTTTGTTCCTACGATAAACGGATTTTCCATGATCCAATTAAGTCTTCCAAGTACGAGGTAAGAGGGAAAAAAGGGAGATCGATAAATTCCCCTTGTAATTTTTTACGTGCCGATCAAACGTGCGTACTAGTCCGTCCGCCCTTCTCCCATTTTTTTTTCTCTCTCTCTCTAATTTTATTACAACTCTGGACTGTGTTATGTAGTAGTATTTTATTGGTATTATTTTTTTAGTGCTATATTAAAGTAGTCAATTACTGGTAACAAATGATAAAATAATATATTATGAATGAAAGAGAGAGAGAGAGAGAGAGAGAGAGAGAGATATTCAGGTTCGAGAAAAGTACAACACAGTGACAGCGGTTTTGCGATCCTCTATCTCGCGTATGCGGGTCACGAAGATGAGAGGCACCTATTGTGAGTCAGCTTGACGTGTTCTAATTAAGAGAAAACCATGCGGATAGTAGTGGTTTCACGCCCATACTCATCAACTCGTCTACTAGTCTACTATCTACCATATTTTCATAGTTGACGCTTGTCAAAAGCATTCTTGTTCTTCCTCTCTCTCTCTCTCTCTCTCTCTCTCTCTCCACGTATAATATATATATAGTTATTTTAAATTAAATAGATTTTAATATTTTTATTCTTCGTATTTTCATTTCTTGTATTTCTTGCTCGTATTTTCTCTCCCTCTTTTTCTTTTTCCCCTTAGCATTCTAGCTCAAATATTTCCGAGATAATTAATTCTCACTTATTTGATTTGCCCGTCGTTCTTCATGTTTTTTTATGAGCATTTTCTGTTCTCCATTCTTCTTCTTCTTCTTCTTTATCTTTTATTTCTTGTAGTTGTTGTTTTCCCTTCATTTTCTTCCACGTAGATATACGTACGTGTACTCGAATGCAAACCGAGCGAAGAGCTCCAGGTACACGTTAAATTTCCCACGTGAGAATTATCAATCGACCCTTGCAATTACGCTCGTCGCAATTACGAAACTTTCGTTCACCGTAACAGGTAGCTTGATACTTGTACATGCACACGCATATGATATATATGTATACATAAATGCGTTAGTGAGTGTACGAGGGCTAAGCCTTAACGAGCTCTACGCTCGAACAAACTATTATTCACAGATTTTTGTTTCCATGCATCGTCACCTTCTCGACGTCAGCCAAATATTAATTTAGATATAATAATAATAATAATAATAATAATCAGTGTAAATTATTTCAATTTTTTGTACATTGTTTAAATATTTATTTATACATTTTTATCTTTGTATTAATATGATAATTATTATTTTTAATTATAATTTTTAAAGAAATAATACAATTCATTTTCACATGTATAAAGTGAAATATTTAAAATGGATGGTAGGATCGATCGATTTTCGATACATGATCGAGTAGAGAAAACCACTTCAGCTATTTCAAATGTATTTTGAGGTGAAATCATTTAGATTTGTTCGGTACTTCAACGCATCAGCGTGTTTTCGAGCCCTTCGAGAAAATTGATCTTTACAAAACGTTTGAATGGTGCTTTCGATATTTACGTTTTAGAAATAGATTAATAGATAGGGTGAAATAGAGATAGATACATAAGTAGAGAGAGAGAGAGAGAGAGAGAATAAACTTGTACAAGTGCATAGTTGACGAAAGCTATTATTGCATTGAATTCTCAAATGAATTGTTAGCTTAAAGGACAATAGAACATTGCTGATGATAATTCTTTCTTTACAGGACTGTTCTCCCACTTTTTCTAGCTTTAAATGCAATGATTATTTGTCTATTTTTTTCTTTTTATTATAATATGTGCATATATAAATGTATGCGTGTGTAGTATGCATAGGAATCCAAGTTATAAACAAGAATTCCGATGCTTTCCGGTTCGTACGATGACGTGTTCTTTATTACAGCGATTGAATCATCTAGGAGGCGTGGAGATTACGTGTATGTATATTGCCTTGATAAAATGCTAATGAATAAATACTTTGAAAGAGAACGTACTCGATTCTTCTAATTTTATTATAATATATATATATGTATGTGAGATGGGTGTTTAGTTAACTCTTAAACGAGAAAATTGATTATAGTATTCCCCTGACTGTCGATATTATTGGTATCTTTGGATTGACGTACTACGTTAAGTGTCCTTTCAATTATTTAAGCGTATTAGCACGGTAAATTTCTGTCCCCGTGGTTTCATTGAAATATTAATCTCTCTTCTCTCCTTTACTCCAACGCTCGTTCCCATAGCGAGATTTGTTGATAATTAAACTCGTAATTAATTTATATCAAAGCAAAACGAATCCCCCCGTGTATCGATTCTAACACCAGTTTATGATTTATCTTCCATCAAAAGGAAATAGAACAAAATTATAAATCCTAATTTTTGTATATTCTTCCATTGCACGATTATATACTTTATAACATATTATCTTAAAAATATTCTGTCAGTAGAATGTAAAGCAGAGAGTAGGGGGTAAATCATTAAAAGTTATTCTAAATATTCTCTTCTTCTTCTCTCTCTCTCTCTCTCTTATTCTAATTTAAGTATCCTCCGGACCCCTGCAGAGATGCCTTGTACCATATTGTGGCTTGTATTGTATAGAACGGTCTGTCCTTGTCCAAGGACAGTGCCTTGTCACTTGCCTATCTTGATTGTAGGATCTCCAAAAGTAGGAGGGAGAGGGTGAGAGAGAAGGAGGATTAACTGGGGTCGTAGGAATACACGTGTTAGTTGTAGCTACTCGCGTGTCGTCTCTCTCTTTCCTTTAAAGCAAGCTTCTCTATTGGTAGATGCCCTTTAGTAGAAGGAGGGAGGCCAGAAGCTACACAAGGATAAAACCACTTTACGTTCCCTGGAGGTCGTAAAGATACCAGAGACTTCGCCTCGTCTATATCTTTTCCTTTCTCTCTTCCTCTTCCTATTCCTCTTCCTATTCCTCTCTTTTGCTTACACTCTCTTTGCCAAATCCGTATGTTCTGTTACGTACATGTTAGACTTTCTTATGTATGCATACACACAAATATACGCTCTAAGAGACATGTAAGAGTTACTATAGTCTTCTTTTCTATGCCAATCGATACATTCGTTTATAAATTACAGCTAGATATTATAAAGAAAGGGAAAGAGAAAAAGAGGGAGGATTGTTTTTATTCAAAAAGAAAAAGAACCATTTTTTTTTTGTATTTATCGGTTACTCTTGATCACGTATTTCTCGGTCTTTTCTGCGCCTGAGCCAAGTATCGATCGTACTGGTGTTCGAAGAGAGTACACAGGGATAGTTATTTTCAGTGTCTTTGATTTATTCATCCTACGTATTGTTTCTTTTAACGAAGGATAGAATGGTCTATTCTTTATATTGACATAACATCAGCCAGCTTCGAATATTCGAATACCTATTACATTACTGTATTTCTATACATGTCTACTACGTGTATGTATATATCTTTTACTGTACTCTAACATACAATTTGAACGCATTTTACACTCGTGACTCGTGCCTCAGGCTATCTCCCTCTCTCTCTCTCTCTCTCTTTCTCTGTTATTCACGTAAATTCGTTCAAAGAGAAAGAGAGAGAGAAGTCAACGTCACGATTGTAATTCTAATTGATTACAGAAATTTAACATTAGATTTACCAACAATTACGTTTGAAATACCTTGCAAATTTTATTGCAACATATAAATGATTAATTTTCATAATATTGTATTATATTTGTAGAGTCAGAAAACAATTTGTATATATGCGTATGCATATGTGCATGCATATGTATAATAGCAAAGTAAACAACAGAAATGGAAGTTGATATTCAAAGTTATGACATTTTATTTATATACTTCGTGCAATTTATGACGTCAGTTCAGGTGAGAATCGAACAGGAATGGAAGAGGCAAATGGACACGAACGAGAGTACGAGGGTGCGATAAATGGAGAGAGAAAGAGAGAGAGAGAGAGAGAGAGAGAGAGAGAGAGAGAGAGAGAGAGAGAAAAAGAATTGGAAACAAGGGATGCGAAGCTGTGGGTGCCAAAGGGTGAAGAGGGCGAAGCAGATAGTGGCATTCAGTGCTACCAACGGATGATACCCACGGGGAAACACTGTAAACACTGACGCAAATCTCGTTTTTCTTCTCTCTTTCTCTCTCCCTCTTCCCTACTCTCTTTTATATTTTCAACCCCAACCCCATTTCCTCCTCACTTCCTCCCACTTTTTCTGCCGTTCAGCGACGACGCGTAATAACGATAATAAATCGTGTCTGAGTGATTTAGGGATTCATTTAACGAACAAAACTTCACAGAGTAACAGAGTAACTGAGAGAGAGAGAGAGAGAGAGAGAGAGAGAGAGAGAAGGGGTAATAAAGGTCGTCGGATTACAAATAAATTCATTTGCAGAAATATAGTGGATCGTGTGCTTATTATGATCGATGAAAGATTATACAAAATTTATTTCCTTCTTTCTATTCTACGAAATTAATTAATATTACAATTACTGATGATTTTTAGAAGGGTGAGAGAGAAAGAAGGGTGGAATTACTTTCGCGATTATAATCTTTATTCGTTCCATATAAATTATCTATCATTCATTTCTAAGCATTTATTTATTCGAATAATTTGTCTAAAAATTCTATACGTATGTAGACATAGGGAGAGAGAATGAAAGAGAGAGAGAGAGAAAGGGAGTGAGAAAGAATGAGAATATTTATGGAGGTTGTTGAACGGGACTGGATAGTCCTGTACCTGTTGATCCCTCGTCGAGATCCTCCCCAACTGTTTCGTTCAACGCAGGAGGTTCGAATAACAACCCCGATAGAACGTGGGGTTGAAATTATGCTAGGTTCTCGAAGCTCGATAAAATATATCATGCTTCTCGAAGACACACGCGTTGCAACTATCTCTTTCTTTCTCTCTTAGAGTCTTTGAAGTATCGACATCCCTCGGGAAATCAGCGAAAGATGCACTGCGACTCGAAACTCCCTTTTCTCACCTTCGTTCTCCCTATCGACCATCCCTTTCTTTCTTTTATTCTATTCAGACAATACGATTTCTCCAAAGTCCAACAAGATCGCCAAACCGAGAAATGAAAGTCGACTTATCGATAAGCGAGACGTATTTTCGACGTCTACTAGAAACAACAATGTATCGATCTTGTTTCGTCTCTCTCATCCAGTTTGCTTCATTTATTTTTCCTTTTCTTTTCTTTTCTTTTCTTTAGATATTTTCTGCTGCGCAATATATCAATATATTATTTGTGAATATTTTTATATTTAGAATTTAGAACTCACTCGCTCCCTCTTTCTCTCTCTCTTGTTTCTTTTTTATTTTTTTGTATCGTTTTGTCTCATAGGAAGACATTGTCTTGCACATCTTCTCTTCGTGTCTATCGATAATCCTTTAGAAAGAAGATCAGCTTCGAGGATACTTCTCCTGTTGGCTGCCGCTTCCTTGAACTATACTTGTGCGTATATTGCAAATGGAAGTCTTGTAAAATAGAACACGTACGTGTGTATGTAATATCTGCACGTGACTGTGTGCACGTGACACGTTGAACACGAGAAACCACTCAAGCAATCCGTTAGAATACGTTTTTACTTACGTTAGTATTAGAACGTCTTCTTTAACTCTATCTTTGTTTTTTTGTTGTGTTGTACATATTATCAAGATCTTCATTTTTTAATATCAGATGCTTTAGATAATAATACATTTCAAACGAATGATAAGGAAAACAAGTTGGTCGTCGCAAGAGATGATTTTTCTCTTGATAAATATAAAATATAATGAATATTTGGAGAATTAAACAAGATCAGTAGGTAGAAATATAGGACACAGGATGAAATTAATCTGATTCGAGTTTACGGATCACCGAGTATATTTCGCTTATACACGAAATTCGATTACAATTGCGTTTTGTATTGTGGAAATCTTGATAATTTTGTCATTCAACGAAAAGCCCTCATTGTTCTCGGAAACTGTTGGCCAGCGATATCACGCTAGTTTGCTTTGAATTATTACAAAACATTGTAGTTCTCTAAACTATCATTTTAAAGTCTAATTAAACGATACAGTAAATCAAACATTACATAATATTTTATCAATGGTTTATTATTTCTATATGATAAAATGATGAAAACAAAATCATAAATCGTCTTATCGAGTAAATACATTTCGTAAATTAAACACTCTCTGATATATTATTGCAAAATCATGATTACAATTATATACTATTATATAATTGATAGATATAACAATTATCTGTAAGCTTAGAAATGAAATAATATTGTTCGACAAATATTTCAGTAAAGAATTTCATGCAGATTTAAAGACGTTTCAGATAAACCCACAAACCGTCAACGGGTGTCGATATTACGCCCAAAATGTCTAGTTCAACAGGATAACTGGTCCTTGGGTTTCGTTCTATCCTATATTTTGATAATAGTGCTGCCAAAGCAGCTTTTGTCTGTAACAATCCCATTCTAAGACCAACGCAAATTCTCGGACCTTCTCCGAATGCCAAGAAACAATATTTATTGATATCAGCTTTCTTCTTTTCGCTCCATCGATCAGGATCAAAGGCTTCCGGATTGGTCCAATATTTAGGATCTCTTTGCAAATAACGACTAGGTATAATGATCTTTGTACCAGGCTCCACTTGACAAGTTAGACCATCGTAGCCTTTAAATTCAATCTTATTAGTACACATTTTAATGGTTATATCAAACAAGGAGTTCAATCTTTGCGACTCGCTGATCACTTGATCTAAATAAGTCATCTCTTTCAACGAATCATAGGTAATTTCGCCGCCGTGTTTAGCTAATACATCATTGATCTGATTCCTTAACTTTTCTTGAATATCACAATGAATGGATAGTTCGAAACAGACGAAACTCAAGGTTCCTGCTGAACTTTCATAACCGTCAACGAAAAACGAAAGACTTTGCGAAGCCAACGTATCCTCGTCGAACTTTTGTCCCTCGTTTTTTTCAAGATCGTTCATTAATTGAAAGAAATCATTACGCTTCTCGGTTTCTTCCCTTCTCCTCTCGATAATCTGTTTGACGATAGATCTGAAGAATTGATCTATATCTTTAGGTATGAATGACATTTTAATAAATTTGTTTAGAAACGGAAAATAGATCAAAATAGATTGGATTGCACCTTGTAACTTGGTCGTTTTGAATGTCTTTTTGCCGATCTCGTGAAACGATCTTGGATTGTAATTGTCGTCGAAACAAAATCCTTCGATACCAAATCCCGCATTTGCTACCACCTCGCCGGTAAATCTTGCGAATAGATCTTTCGTCTCGAACGCGACCCTCTGGTCTTCGCCGATCTTTTTGTTCAAATAATTGTGAAACTTTTTGCAAACGCCACGTACCGTTTCCGATAAAATCCTCAGTCGCATACCCGTGAACGCGTAGGTCAGTCTTTTCCTACCGGTCATCCATTCTTCGCCGTACGTAAAAAATGGATTTTTGGCAATCAACGGATCGGCATCCTTGGAAACTTTCACAGCGTTCTCGTGGAAACTCGAGAAGTCAGTTTGCAAAACGGATTTTATTAGATCTGGGTCGCGTATCAATAATCCTGGCACCATACCAACGTAAAAGCCAATCATACTCCTTTCGCTGTACCGATTATACCAATCTCGTACAAGTTGAGAAATATTCTTTCGTAATAATATCAGTGGCAATAGATTACCAACTATCGGTAAAGCACACGGCACTGACGGTATACCTTGTCGTTCCCAATAACTATAAATCTGTCGCCAATAAAAATACAAAGCTATTATTGCGCAGATTATTAACACGATCAATAAAAAACTCATATTTGTATAGATTCAACCGTAACTTAAATGAAACTTTTGTTCGTAACCAAAGCGAGAGCTCTTTCTATGTTGCTTTCGTGCCCGTTACTGCTCTATATTAATCAGAGCAGTTGGGATATCTCCAGAGGGGTATCTGTGCGTGAACATGTCCATATATATATATGATAAGAGAAGATAAGTCTCGTTTAATGCTGATTGCCACAAATAGAAGTGACCTTTAGAAGTCGTCCCAATATAAAGTTATTGCGATTTATAAATGGGAAAAATAAAAAGAGAATAACGATGAATATTTTATTGAAAACATTTTATTTATATCATTTGTGGTTATCATTTTCGCAATGTTTAAAAATACGAAGCAGAAAGATATGAATAAGGTGTATTAAATGATGCAATTAAAGACGTCTCAAATAAACCCAGAGCCCTTCAACGGGTGTCGACAATATTCCCCAAAGCCCAATTTTAACAGGATATGAGGTTCTTGGGTTACGTTCTATCCTATATTTTGATAATAGCGTAACTAATGCAGCTTTTATCTGCAACAATCCCATTCTAAGACCAACGCAAATTCTCGGACCTTCTCCGAATGGTAGAAAACAATATTTGTTAACATCAGCTTTCTTCTCGTTGTTCCATCGATCAGGATCAAATCCTTCCGGGTTAATCCAATATTTAGGATCTCTTTGTAGACAATGAATAGGTATAAGGATCTTTGTACCAGGCTCCACTTGACAAGTAAGACCATCATTCCCTTTCAATTGAATATTATTGGTACATATTTTACCCATCATATCTAGTAAAGTGTTCAATCTCTGCGACTCGTTGATCACTTGATCCATATAGGTCATTTCTTTCAACGAATCATAGGTAAGTTCGCCTCCGTGCTTAGCTAATACATCGCGAATTTCTTTACGCACTTTTTCTTGAACTTCATAATGAATGGATAATTCGAAACAGATGAAACTTAATGTTGCCGACGAGGTCTCGTAACCATCGACAAAGAACGAGAGTGCGTGGGCAGTTAATGATTCCACGTCGAACTTTTGACCCTCGCTTTTTTCAAGATCGGCCATTAATTGAAAGAAATCGTTACGTTTCTCGGTCTCGTCTCTTCTCTTTTCTATGACCTGTTCGACGATAGATCTGAAGAACTGATCGATATCCTTAGGTATAAATCGAAAATTAAAGAATTTGTGTAGGAATGGTAAAAATAACATGATGGATTGCACAGTACCATTGAACGGCGTCACCCGAAATATCTTTTCTCCGATATTGTGAAACGATTGCGAATTGTAATTATCCTCGAAACAAAATCCTTCGATACCAAATGCAGCATTCGCTACCACCTCGCCGGTAAATCTTCCAAAAAGATCTTTCGTCTCGAACTGGACCCTCCGATCTTCGCCGATCTTTCTGTTCAAATAATGATCAAACTTTTTGCAAACACCTCGTACGGTCTCCGCTAAGATCTTCAATCGCATACTCGAAAACGCATAGGTCAATCTCTTTCTACCGGTCAGCCACTCCTCGCCTTCCGTAAAGAATGGATTTTTGGCTAACAGAGGATCGTTTTTTCTATCAACTTTCAAAGCATTCTCGTGGAAATTCGAAAAATTCGTTTGAATAACTGTCTTAACTAAATCTGGGTCACGCACCAATAATCCTGGTACCATACCGTCAAAGTAACCAATCATGCTCGCCTCGCTATACCGATTGTACCAATTCTTTGCCAGTTGAGAAATATTTTTTTGCAATAATAATAATGGTAACAGATGACCAACGATTGGCAGGACAAATGGCATCGATGGTATACCTTGCCGTTCCCAATAAGAAAAAGACCATCGCCAATATAAATACAAGGCTATCAGACCACAGATCAGGATTAAAACGATCAACAACAAATCCATATTTACGAATTACAAAAATACACTCGTTCTGAAAATGCAAGGAGGAGACCTTTGCGCGTTGCACTTTCAGATGCTACTGCTTAACATTAACTGCACTCAAATATAAAAATATGGGTAGATAAAGTGTGCATGTGTGTTAACTATGTGATAAGTGACCTATCATTTCTTTCGTTACCTATCGTTGCAAATAGAACTGCATACTCGGTAATTGCGTCATTTTAAAGTCATATATATATTTTATAAATGAACGATGCTGGAAGACGTGCATGATCGTTTTTTGATGTTTCCAACTCTACGATAACAGGTAATTTGTATTTTATTAGCTCTGTTATCATCTTCATAATGTTTAATAACGAGTAATAGTAAGGGGTGGAGGAGGAGGAGGAGGAGGAGGAGGAGGAGGAGGAGGAGGAGGCAGAAAAATAGATTGATAAAGTAGCCTCATCATGCTGTTATGTGATGAAACTAAAAGGAGGAGGCTCATGTCGGATAAAAATTGTATGCGAAATTCAACGAACAATGATATTCATTAAATATTGCTAATTCGCGATTTTCATATAAATATATATATGTATATGTTTGTATATTATAATTAAACACGTAAATACACTGTATAAAATATTAATCTTATTATTTAGATAATCACATTCGAAATCTCTCCATTTTACAGATTCGTCAGTCATCTAATGCAGTCGTGTTTGCGAGCTGTTGAACTTTATGAAAGCTTTGGTGAGTTTTCTTTTTGCAAATAATGTTGTAAGAGGGAGAAAGAGGGAGAGCGAAGAGAATTCTCGTTTAGTCTGAAGTATTGGAAAACTGTTTTACTCCTCTTACTTTTCACTTCATGATCTATTATAGGAGTTTGAGAGAGAAAGAGAGATAGAGAACGAACGAGAAATGGGTTACCACATTAGAGTATTAGAGAGGGAGATATCAAATAGAAAGAGAGGAAAAGATAGATAGATTATTGTTCATGTTATTTTCCAGGCAATAATACAAAATTATATAACGCTTTACATTTATTTTCTGTTTTTTTTTTTTTTTTTTTTAAATGGAAGATAATTATTTGGTCATAAGTGTATCGTTAAAAAAACTCGCATGACTCGCGTGACTCTAACAGTGATTCTAATCGTCTATTAATTATGAATAATAATTATCAATTACGTCAATGTGTTAACGTCAATGAATTTAACATTGTCACGATTGTTTGTTGCAATTTGTGAAATCAATTTTCTCTTGTTGAATTGTTAATTAATAGACAGAGTGACGAAGATAGAAAAATAGAATTTAATAAGTATTGTTGAGAAACGATTAGGCCCTTGATACTTTCGATAACTCTCTCTCTCTCTCTCTCTCTCTCTCTCTCTCTCTCTCTCTCCTTTCTGTTTCACGTAGAACACCCTGTTTGCTTCCTGCCAGAGGCAGAAGCCTTTGGTAATTAAGTCGAGCTCACAGCGACATCAGCTCTATTGTGCTGGGCAAATGGGCTGTTTAGACCGGATACATGACTTCATCTCTCTCTCTCTCTCTTATCGTGCATGCACATAGCGGTTTAATCGATCATGCTTATGCTTCGATTTTGTTATTATCCAAGTGTTAGCATTGAAAACGGTAAGGTATTGAAAGGTTGATTAGATAATAATTCTATATATATATATATATTTAGAAATTATGCGTCTTAAGTTTCTAAACGTTAAATTTTATTGACGTGTTGATTAGAAAAGTTACATAACTAGTTATCTAATCTTTTTAGTAATTATAACAGATAAATTTCAACTATATAACGGACTTATTTATCTTCGTGGAAAATGAATTTGAAAATAATTCTTTCGTCTTGCGAACAAAAACGCGTTCGGCCATATTTCTTTATAGACTAGATGACATAGTAAACGAGCGCAAAAGATTTAGTTTGATAAATCCAGTAGAAACGAATTCAGGAGAAATTTTCTCTTGGGAATGGACTCCTGTGTCATCTTCCTTGCTTCCAGAGTTTCCACTTGGAACTCTTTGACAGTGTAGACTTTCAAAACGTGATAGGAATATCTTCTCTTACTCTTAACGATCCCATCCAAGTACATATAATACAAGGTTTCTCTCCAAGTTCCAAGGTGGGCCAAAAGTTCCTACGTTATTTTATAAATCAATTAGCCTTCTTTTTCGAATCCTTTAAGACTAATTTTGTGTAGATGTCTGTGAAACTCCAAGTCTAACTTAAAATGATCAAAGTTTTCTCGCGTGTCCAAAGAATCTGGAAGGAAAAAAGTCATTGATTGTGAAAATTGTCTACAGATCCACTCTGTAAAATACGCAAAAAATAAGAAAGAAACTCTAGCTCTTCGCGAGATACTTTCAAAAGGATTTAGAAAATATACGTGAAAAGCAAGGTGAATGTTTTGGACGTTGAACACGCATATCGATCCTTCGTTTGTCATTAAGCCTCGTTTCTATCGATTTTATCGTGGTTTAGAAACCACCTGACGCTTCCGACAGCTTGAGAACATCGTTCTCGAGGCATTACAGGATGTTCTACGCAAATCTATTCCATTATTTATAGTCTGCTTTTGAATAATTTCATTCGATTCTAAGGATCGATATCGTTAGATCTTTAATTCTTGATCACTAATAAAGTTTCTCATTATTTTATACATTTTTACATATTGGATTTTGACAAAGTAATGGAATAATAAATAACTGCGTTACAGGTCAATTATTTTCATTTAATAATTGATAGTTACTTTTAGAAATTTGTTGAACATTTAATATTACATTTTTAGATGGAAATAAGAAAAGTTGTAATCTTCTTACTCTAAGCCTAAGAGTTTCTTAGAACTCAGAGTAGTTTGGCGAATTTTCTCTCGATCTAGATCTCGATTTCGATTTCGATTTCGATTTCTCTTTTTGAAACGAGTTTTCATAAGCGTCTTGGGATTAATCTACATATTACCAAGCACTCCTAGGTCATTTACATACTCCAGACGAATATCCGAGGATACTGAAGCTCTCTTGTAACGTTGCAACTACGTGCCGATCATTCCACTCTCGATTCCGGAGACAGCTACATACTTCTATTCACGAATATATTAACATTACATTTATTCCAGTGATATTTCATAATTAATCCTATTTTTACGTGTTTTAGTTCAATTTAATGAAAAATTCAATGAAATAATAATTATCCAAATGTTATTCGAAAATTTATACGAAATATTTGATAGAGTTTAACAAACAAATGGTTGGATAATTTTTAAAAAGGAAACGAGATTAAGTGAAATGAAAACAAATGAAATTAAATAGGAAGATTTATAAAGCAAAACCAAAGGGAATTTTGACTCTGTCGAGTTCGTAGTAATTACACAAGCACGAGAAGCTTTTCGTCGACGACGTCAAATACGACGGACAAACTAAATGTACAAAAAACATAAGTAAGCTACGTCGATAGGAGAGAGAGAGAGAGAAAGACGAGAGAGTAATTTGCGTTGAAAAGAATCTTATTTTCCATTGAACTCGAATGAAAGAACGTTTCTCTCAAACGTAATCTTTCTTTCTCTCGCTTTATTTGCATAAGACACAAAAATGAAGATATTTATTTAATATTCAAACGAAAATTAATTACAAAAAATATCAGCCAATTCGATTACATAAAAAAAATATATAGAATTTCTTGCAAATTATCATTGTGTACATTATAAGCAATTGAATTTGGTTATCAATTAAACAGAAAAAAATCTTGATTTAAATTATCACATGGAAATAAATAATTTAGAAATCGTCGCGTCGCGTAAATAACTATAAATTATTTTTGGGGCGAATGTTAAGCTACAAACTTGTACTCGGATTTGCATTGAAAAGGAAAAAGAGGTTAAAAAGGGGTAAGGATGTAAAGTAGGAGAGGAAGGGCCACAGAATGGGGTAGGTATATATGACGATAAGGGATAGGAACAAAGATCGAGAGAAAACTTTTTAATACGCGACCTCGTGAATTTCCAGACACGAGTCTACGGGTTCCAGAGAATTCACTGAACCGTCGTCGGTTTTAATCGGGCAAACTTCTCTGCCGTGTCTCAGTAATTACGTACCACACACACACACACACACACACACACACACTCATAAAGTCTCGAGTCAGCTTTCTCTCTCTTTATTACGTTTATTCTCATTTCTACACACATACGTAACTATCTCGCTTCGTTGCGGCAGCTTATCGCGAAAACTTGCGGAAATAAAAATGTATTTTCTAATTCGTTTAGATTTGATTAGATAAATATTTTTATACGCAATTTGTATTTCATTGAATATAATTCAAAGGTGATTCGATAACCGTGCCAATTCTTCACCATCCATGCGAATCTTAAACGAATAGAAACTATGAAATTGTGTTTGTTCTGTCGAAGAATTGATTTGAATTCGATCAAAGTAGTTTTTCGGAAAGAAAAGTTAACTCGGAGAATATTAACGAGGTTCCACAGAAAGTCCGAGGAGCGGAGAAGAGAAGAGAAGAGAAGGGAAGGGGAACAGACAGGTAGGGGGTGTCCACCCTCAGTCGGTGCACTTTTATCGGTCGCATTTTCGCGGTGCAAACCGTGCTCGATACGCGGTCGCCGTGGTTGCCGAGTCGCATGAATGTTTCATGGATCGGAAGCCGGAACGATATTCGATATTACTTTCTGATAACGTCAATGTTCAACGATCCTACAAAATAATCTAAGAAGACACTGGAACTTTCTTTTATTATTAATATTTATTCATTTGTATTCATTAAAATGATCATTTTACCGGTGCGGTGACCGAGTATAACCTCCGCAGTGTTAATGGGTTCATTGAAATTCTAAAATACTTTCTGTAAAAAAAGTAATTAAAAAAGTTGTTCATATTCCAGGCAAGTATCAATATCATTAAAACCTAACTGAGTTTTCAGAGAACATTTTTGAAAGCTAAGGATTGTATAATAGCTTATCAGAGAGACTAGTTGAGTACCTTCCAGTGTGTGTATACTCACTTATAACTCAGGTTGGTAGCCAGCATTCTGGCGCCAGGTTGGCTGGAACCTGACGTACGATCAATCAACCTGCCCCTGTTTGCCCTGGCAGTGGTGGTGGTGGTGGTGTTAGTGGTAGTGCTGCCGCGGGATTTACTCGCTTCGAACCTGCTTGCCTGAGCTTCGAGAACTATACTCGATGTTTCCCTCTGTGTAAGTACACATATGTACGCGCGTATGTAGAAATGGTGCCAAGCAAATTGCCGGTCGGTCATCGACCGACGTTAGAAACGAACCTACGGAATAATAATAATCCTCCGTAGAGTAATTAGATGAATTATCAACGATAATCCTTTTGTGTGTATTACGAATGACGTGTCATAAAAACGGAAAAAATAACTTTACAAAAGTTCATCCCTTTTGTTACGTCTAGCCGTACTGATTGTAGGTGTGAACAAAGAAAAAGAAAATAGGAAAAGAAAAAAATAACCGGAGGAACCTTTCTTCGACGTAGTTTTACGCGTACCGGTTGCACCAACCTGTGTATACAGAAGTGTATATAGAAGAAAACTAAGCGAGATATGGTGTTATCGTTCCTCGACATCCTGCAATATCAACGTATATAGGTATACGTACCGGATCGATTCCATTTAGGTATACTCGTACTTTCTTCCGAAAGAAGGAAAGAAAAAGAAGGGTAAGAGGCGGGAGACCGAGAGACGTAAAAAGGTATAAGAGAAATACGGATTCTTCCTCTTAGAGGAAGGACTATGCTCCTCGTTCGCATGGAAATTGCCGGTAAGTTTCGCGGAAACGTCTTTCGTTTTAGCTCGTATCAGAGCCCCCGAACCATCCGATTCCCGTTTTCCTTTCAAACCGTCCTTCCTTTCGAAAGAAGAAAAAGCCTGGGATAACTAATCGAGCAGGATAGCGAAGGTTAACGCGTTTCAAAGAGGGTTTACGAGGATGCCCAATTTTATTTCCTTTCCTTTTCTTTTCTTTTCTTTTCTTTCCGAGATATCTTTCGAATCTTTCTTGCCAAATCGAATTCACCTTTTTAACATGCGGGAGAATATTTACACTTGGATAATTTTTTAACGCGCTTTTTCTCTATCAAGGAATTTTAACGAGTAACTTCCTGTAAAGTTGCAAGTATTATACCATGGAGATTTCAATTGAAACAATAGATTACTTTTTCATATTTGCATGCATCGAACAATATATAGTAATATTTGAATTTCATACAACAGCGAATAAATTCACGTAGATATACCAATTACAGAGTTACCTGGTAGACGCTTATGAATCTGTTTCAAGGGAATCATGAACGCGAACGTCACGATTTTCCGGTAGGTGATATCGAGTTTCGTTGGATTTTCGTGGAAAGCCGAGATTGGAGCCGGTAACGACCCGACGACGATGTTTACCCAGACACCAAAAGGGGTGAGAGAAAGGGTTACCGGAAACGATCCCGCATGTTCTCTGGAATACATACATATATGTATTATATACCGAGTGGACCAAAAGTTATTAGATGAAGTCCACAATTGACTTTGAAGAACTTCTTTCTTCTTCCACTTTTTAGGCTCACTTTTCTGTATCGTCAAAAAGTTGGGAGGTTTGGGATCATTGAATCGAACGCGCGTACGATTTACGCGAGATCTTTCGAGGATTCGGCCGAATATATTCGTACGTATACACTCGCTAATGCAAACACAGTCCATCGTAGTTATTGACCAGGGGAAACGCATTGCTAATATTTGTCTTCGACGCGATTCATCAGTGCTGGCCGATTCGAAACTCGTTTATGGAATTTCAGTTGGTCGCGCAACTCGGACGGAAGCTGCTTCGATTGTTGCATTTTTCGATATGCGTAGAGACAAATGAAAACTGCGGATTTATTATATTATAAGAAAAATGAAATAGACGTGTGTGCGTGTGTGTTTAAGGTGCCGGTGTTAGGGGTAGTGTCAAGGTCAGGAGGGTGGAGTTGAGATCATCGTGGCACCTATGTTGTGCGGTGAACTCTTGAACGGTGGCTTCGTCAGTGCCGGAGCATTGCCGGGCCTTCCTATTGGTCTGTTAGGGCTTTGGTTGCCTGGCTGTCTACGAGCTACCAGCCCTCGTCTCCAAACCTCCCCTTACCTACCCCTTCTTGCCGAGCTTTTGGCGACGGGTCAGTTGGATCTTCGCGATTGCCTCATGGATTTGGCCAAGAGAAATCTTCAGGCACGCGGCACCAATGGTGTTGCAGACCTCGACTTCGATCTTCATGCCGACGATGATATCGATGACAATGTCTTCCTCGGTGAGTCACCCTATTTTTATCTTTTTATCTTTTATCTTTCCTTAAAATACTTGTTTAACTCTTTAAGTACCATTATCATCGATCAACGGGACCGATCCTATCCAGAGCTTCAAACTCAACCCCTAACCTTTCCCATAAACTTCTAACAAATTCCATATCACGAACATTTCATTTCCCTACGATCGGTTAGAAGAATCGCGTGTTTTCGGGCTCTTTTCTACTCGCCAATCGTAATTCTTCAAACGCAAACTGTCCCTTTGAAAAAGAAATAAGCGAGGAATAGTCATTCCAGGATCGTAGCCGAGAACAGCCAATAAACTCCAATTTGTTTGGAATAATATTTACGACTTTTCGTTGGCATGGGCTCAGAAAATAAGTTGTGCTTGCCGAGGAATGGGTAGGAGAGACACGCTCGTAATAATATTCTTGTCATTAATGCTCGATATGGCTTCGTGAAAATACAGTTCTTGAGTTTTAAATGGGTTCGTTGAAAGTGTCGTGGCATCGACTGATAAATTCGCGTTTCTCTTATTATCTTTATCTCTGTCCTTCTCGTATGTGTGTGTGTGTGTGTGTGTGTGTACGATTTAATACAAGTCATTTCTCACTGGGTAGCCTAGCTGCGAGCCTGGCACCGAACTTCCATCTTTTCGAGACGCATCGTCGAGAATTTCTAACTCTTTTTTCCATTATCGACGATTGATGGTTACGATCGTTTAAAGTCTAGTACAGAGTTATGGTTCTACGCTCTAGGAAAATAACTACGACTTCTCTTTTTTTATTTTTCCTACATAGTCCACGTAATTTCGCGTTCAATGATGAATATTAAAAGTCACTATTTTTTGTTTTACCAAAAGAGTAGTAACCCTGCTGCTATTCATTTGAAGGGTAGATCATTTTTGTATAGAGAGAATTTTTTCAGAATAATCTCGATGATCTCGAATTTAGTTGTTTCCAGAGTGAAACGATACGAGCCAAAGAAAGATAAATAGGTTATCTTTATAAATCTTTCTTTATTGTTTTCTTCCTTTTTACAGAATAAATAAAAAACCTTTCATTCGTCGAATTGTAATTTATGTAAAGGACCGACCGTTCTCTTTTTATTCAGAGGGAAAGAACGTTCTATTCGTTTCGTTTCATTCGAGACGACAGACGAGAGAAATCGGACGAGGTTAGATCGAGTTCGCGACCTTAATTAGAATATCATTTCTCTTTAGAGATCTGATCGTTCAAAAGATATAAAGTATCGTAATAGAACTATTTTAACTAAATCATCGTCTAATGCAATTTCAAGTTTAATCAAATATCATTGTTTAATGCTGATCGCAAAATGATCTTATTGTTAGATTCGATAGTTTCGAAAGATTTTTCGTTGTCGTACGTATCGTTTTCCGTTATGTTAACATCGTGCCTTCGGCTAGACTATTCAAGTTTATCTCCTATGTTTGAATTATTTGTAGTAGACAAAATCTGACGATAACGTGACACGAGTAAGTCCATATTATAGATAACAATTTTCAAAACATTATCGTACATGTCCATGGGGATTAATTAAATTCAGTTCTTTCCGCGATTAGCATAAATCTTTCTTGTAGGTTGTTAGAGAAAGGTCTCTTTCGAATAAAATCTCAAACGAAAATATCTTTCTCCTATTTTGTTTTTCTATTTATTTTTTCCCCACACACAATCATATTCCCACGAGTAGAATATATAGATGTAGGAACTATAAATGCATTTATTTGTAGAGAGGAAGGTAAATGATGGAATAGAAGTAGTAGAAATCACGAAGGACACATTGTCTTTCACCCTCGAGCAGGCATAAACGTTCCAATCTGTCGCAGGTCCTCCTCTACAATCGACTAAAATATGGGAATACGTGGTGGTACGTGTGTCATTGGGGAGGCTGAAAAAGAAACTTAGGGATGCTGAGAGAGAGATAAAAAGCGTACAATGGCGAAGGGAATCCTAGAGGAGCGTTCTCATTGCAGACAGAGAGAGAGAGAGAGAGAGAGTGGATGAAGCAGGACGGAACTAACGAAACGGGAACAATGCCACCCGGTATTATTTTCTGTTTGCTGCGTCAGGCCAACCACCACCCACTCTACCCAGCCAGTATTCATCCTATCTCTTTTCCTTTCCTTTCTATCTTTCAGTACTCCCAGGCCTACGAGAACAGAACACTATACCGATCTTGTCAACACCCATTTTTTACATCATCGTCATTTTTTCTTTCAAACGAATCCCCTCTTTTACGATTAGAAATTTATTAGGATAATTGTATACGTTCATCAGTCAAAGTCGGAAAAAGAAGTTTCCATTTACTCTCGTCGAAATATCTTATTCTAGAAGAACGAAGAACTCGGGCGTGAAAACAAGGAATTAGCCGAGATACGAAAAGACCTGGAAAACGTCTTTCTTGTTTTCGAGCTTTGAAAAATAACAAAGAGAGTTCGAGATCTTTGGCTTTAAGCTTTTAAACTCGTTTAACTACTAGAAATGTATCCTTTCCTTTCCGTAAATTGAAAAGGGAGAAACTGAGAGAGAGATTAATGACGGAAAGAAACTTGGAAGGGTCATAATTTTTTTCATCTTTTTTTTTCTTTCTTTTTCTTCGAGAATAATTTGTACTTTGTAGGAAAAATATTTCAATAACTTTAATAAATGCAAAATGCTTTGCAATATTCGTTATTGTTTCCCTTACGATAAAGTTATGCGTTTTAATCGGTTTTATTCGAATACAATGGGGACCTATGCACACAAGGGAATTGACAAAATAATGGAAACAGTATGTTAGCATTATTTTGTCTTTTTATATATATATACACACATTGACAAGAGGAAGTCATCGGTCGACTTTAAAACGAGGACGAACATGCAAATTGCAACTCGTTTCACTACTCGCGCGATAACGCTCGCATACATATATATACATATACATAGGATAAAAAGAGTAAGAGAGATAGGAAATGGGAATCTGTGAGGTTCTAGGCGACGCAGAGACTCGTTTCGTGCCAGCTTCGCCACGGGGCTTTGGAAACGAGTGCAAAAGTCCTTTTGGGAGATCGAAATGCCTTATAAGGTTTCCTCTTCCAAACTCATGTCACGTGAATATCAAACGAGTCTTATGAACAGACCAAAAATACTCATCCAAGTTTCTTAGAGGTTACATTTTCAAAAGAAAACATAATTTGCATTTGGTTTTTTTTTGTTTTACATTTTTTCTTATTTTTCGATTTTCCTTCCAATCAAAATTTAGAATACTTGACACATTGACCGTAACATATGTATACCTACACGCGTACGTCACGTCCCATCGGTTTCTATGGTAACCCGAAAAGCTTTTAATTGGCAATTTGCTCTAATGAAGCCATGGACGGTTCCATTCTGGACGCTCGATTGTCTTGTTCGTCCATCAATTTGACGCTTTCCTTCCCCTTCCTTCCCCTTCATTTCTCTAACTTGTCTTCACAAAATTGTCGATCTTTGACATTAACGCAATAGCGGTACTCCAATTTTCAAGTTTAATCAAAAGTTCTTCGATTACAATGTACAATTTATAGAAAAAAATAGATATTTCAGCGAAAATGAAAATCTTGGCAACAATTGCCAAGAGAGTTTTCTGTTCAAGAAACATTTTTATAAACAGTTTCAAATAAAAACCTTAGAGCAACCATAAAATCGTTTCCCTGGAGATGACAAAAAATAGTGTGGGATGGGGGATGAATAAAAGAAGTATAAAACAAAAGAAAGAGAGCAAAAACCGTAACGCTTTTCCTCGTCCTTTTCATTGGCAAGAGCTCATGCAAGCTCGAGCTTCTCGTATGTAGGTTACGCAGATTAATGTTCTCTCGGTATGAACGATAACCTAGAAAAAGACAGAACATTCGAATTCGACTAACGTAAATGAAAGATACAGACACGGATTGATACAACCGAGATAGGATACTAAGATACCGATTAAATAATAAACAACAAAATATACAAATAATTAAGAAAGGATTGAGATTGAGAAAGAGGGTTGAAAAAATTGGACAATTGAGGAAGAATTCGAGGAGGAAAGGGAGAAAAAAAGGCTCCATCGATTCGATTGGTTTTCTTCCGATGAAGGAACGCATAAATATATCTCTGTGTGCATTGCGTAAACCATTTACAACTAGCTTACACGTCGGATCGCAAAATCGTAAAAAGAGGGGTTCAAATATGAAAATAAAAAGAAAAAAGAAAGGCCGCAACGGCGGAAGTCGTAATTTCAAAAAGAAGAGGAAAAAAAAGAAATTGAACCAACCCGAAGAGAGTCGGCGGATTTGTTTTTTCTTTATTTTTATTGTATGCATTTAACGATCCCAGGGTAAGGTAAACTGCAATCCCAGCAGCAACGAGAAAGAGTTGAGTGAGAGAGAGGGAGAGAGAGAGAGAGAGAAAGAGAAATAGGAAATATGTGAGACGTTAAGGATGTGGCACTTTTCAGTGATGAAAAAAAGTATGTCGCATTAATTAAAAGCCCAACGCCGACGCCGAACGCAATTACGACGGCTCTCTACTTTATGCTAGTCAGCGGAAGCCTATATGAGTTTTTATAAGACCAAAGTACATTTTCGTACTTGCTCGCTCCCCCCCCCCCTGCCCTCTCTCTCTTTATTTCTAACTCACGCTTATTCTAGTAAACGTGTCTTTACCCTCGAGAAATAACTAAAGTGCTCGTCTTGACACGAATATGTTGATTCCGGAGAGTCTTCGAGACTAAACGAGTGACTACCGTGTTTTTTTATTCTTCTCTCTTTACTTTTATTATTATTATTGTATTTGCAATCCCTCTCCGGACATTTTTCTTCAGGTAGAAGGGGGGAGAAGCGAGAATATTGATAAAATCAATGCAGAAGGATATACTACAAGCTCCGTTGAGATATGAAATCATTTTCGTTCTCATCATCCAATAGGATCGACGGATTATCGACGTTCGAGTTAAGACGAATCTAAACCAGATGTTATAGTTGCGAGAT